TAGAGAGTCGGTTAAATGGGAAAAGAATTGCAGTTTTGTGGGGTCATAAATATGCGCCTTTCAGATTTTTGAAAATGTTCATGGCTTACTAGATATTTCGAAAAAAAACAATTTTTCTCTATTTTAAAAATTGTCCCTAATTCCATTATAATCATAGATTTAGGAAGAACAGATATCACATTGTGAATTTTAACCCGATCAAACAATCGGAGGTTGTCTACGTACTGTAAAAACCAACTGAGATAGAGAAGGCAACATTGCCACATCTCAAATTTGCGCCTATCTACTTTGATTTGCAGAAAAGGTGACTTTAAAACCTTCACCGGATATCAATAAATCTCAATTTCTTAATTAAATTAATAGTTTATTTTTAAAGAAGCATGCGTAATAATATGGTTATTAACCAGAGGATATATGCGTTACTATTAAAGGACATGTTTACTGTTTAATATGCTGAAGCGTCTAGAACTATTGGCAACGTCGCTGCTAGTCTTCCAGAATGAAAATGAGCCGTTCGTCCCACCACCCCTCGCGACGGCCTTTGCTCCGTTATAGCGTACTACGTTTAGCTTACGGTGTGTTTGAAGTCGGAATCAAGTCCGAAGTGAACTTTTCAGTATTTTTCAGTAGTTTTTGTTTTTGTTTAACGTACTTTTGAATCTCCGAATTTTCAATATGGTACGACAGTGTCAAGTGTGTGGAAAAATAAGCTCAAATTACCCGAATTTGTCTTTTCACAGGTAGGTACAAATTTCCGCCATAATTGTACATAGGCGTCCCACAAAGGGAGCCCTTACAATTAAAATAATTTCTAATTATATTTGTTGAATTTTTATCTATTAAAACAAGAACGTAGTAGCCGGTAATTGAATTATAATTCGTCTCAATTACTACCTAACTATTGTAGATCATAACAAATTTGAATATAAACGTTGCTCTAAATAATTTTTAGGCTACTAGTTTTATACATACCTATATACAGAGTGACCCAGGCCTCCAAAAAAGCTTTTTACCTATTACGTTTTTGGTTTGTGATTTTTATTTCAATTTTTTTCACAAGATGGGGGCCATTGTAACGCACATTTTCAAAATATTTTTGTCAACATACAGGGTGATTCAAACCGCAATACATATGCTTAATACAGTTCATGAAGATTGAGACATTTAACTAAAATTTGATTGTCTGATGAAGCTACCTTTAAAAGTAATGGGTTTGTAAATAAACGTAATATTCATTATTTTGCGACAGAAATCCCATACTGTAGCACACAGATTTGATACATTTAATGATAAATGCCTTCTATTGAGAGACTAAAAGGTAATTGCCTCGTATCAGAGCCATCATAATACAAGAAGAAGACCGAAAGTCAAATCTTGTCTTATATTTTCAAAAAAACACAATTTTCTCATTAAATATTGATTTTAGGTATAGGAAGTTATTAATAATACAAGATTAAACAACTATTACACAATACTTCATAGGAAGCTATCGATTGCGAACTATAACTAAATCGTTACTAATTACTAATTTTGAAAAGTTCTTTTTAAGATCAGAAAAGCTAAAACTAAAACCTAAACTATCATTTGAGATTAAACGGGAAGTTCTAAATAATGTTGCCTATTCTAAACAAGAAAAATTTATTTATAAGTTTTATAACATCTCTAATTAAATTTGGACGAAAAGAATATTTCTGTTTGCTGTAAATAAGTTTCTCAGGGAAAATACGTAAATAAAAATGACTTTTTAAGTCAAAAAAAGTCAAAAGGACAAGTTATTCCAAAAAAGGACTGTCGTTTTCAAAAAAGGACAGGTGGCAACCGTAGGTATTTCTGGAATGGAAATTTAATGGCAAATCTACAACTTTAGTTTGAAAATATGTTCCGGCCACCTATGTTTACAAAATGTCTAAAATGTGCTTTACCATTGCCTCCATATTCTGAAAAAAATTGAAAGAAAAGTCACCAACCACAAACCTAATATAGAACTGTTTCAGAAACTTGAGTCACCCTGTAAATATTCAAAAGTAACTGAAAGTTTATATAGAAGTAACTGAAAGTTTAAATTGAAAATCGACGTTGAAGCGACTTTCGAAAACTACCTACTAACGTTTCAACATAAGTATATATGGGATATTAATTATATTATTATATTAGACCTTATAACAAAACTCATCTGACGAAAAAGTGTTAACGCAGTATATTAATATGAAGTAAAAATTTTACTAATTACTTTACTTTTATTTTACTAACTAAATTTCTTCCAAAAAACGATACGCCACTGGCCATTAGAACAATCCAAATGCGCCTAGTTGCCGGGGTCGGAAATTTTAGACTTCTCTGTCTCTTCTGTCCTTGTTTGACACATTGGGATGTTTGATACACTTCCAACGAGTATTTATGAATGAGATGTTCGGTCTATCTTTATAATGTCTTTGATTATAATCTATTTTACACAAAAAGTTTTCAGATAAAAGTTGTAGATAATCACATCCCTAAAGAGTCTGTGTTCTCCGGTTTTTTCTAAAGCCTGTCATTTTGGACATATGACACAAATATATGATTTTTTAAATGGAAACCATAGTTGGCCAAGACTTCATAAAAAGCGCCATTTTGTAAGCTTTTCAGCGATATAAGCTAGAATATGTTTTTTTTTTCAAAAATTAGTTATAGCCAATTCTTATCTTCCTTGATTAATTTAACTTAGTTGGCATGGTGTCCTTATTTTGTTATGATTTAAAACTTATAAAAAGACAAAATATAAACAGTTTCACATGTCTGAGAGCAACGATGATTGAACTTGTTTCCATGGCTAACTAAGTGAAATTAGTCAAGAAAGATAAGAATTGGCTATAACTCATTAATTTTGTGAAAAAAACATATTATAGCTTATATCGCTGAAAAGCTTAAAAAATGGCGATTTTTATGAAGTCATGGCCAACTATAGTCTCCATTTAAAAACACATATGTTTGTGGTATATGTCAAAAATGACAGGCTTTAGAAAAAATCGGAGAACACAAACTTATTAGGGATGTGATTATCCACAACTTTTATCAGAAAACTTTTTGTCTAAAATAGTTTATGATAGAATTATAATCTATTTTATGAACATTTTCAAAAATCTGAAAGGCGCATATTTATGCCCCCACAAAACTGCATTTCTTTCCCCATTTAACCGACTCTCTATCTTCAGTAGTTTCCAAGATACCCATAGAGAACATTGTAGAAAACTCACCCTGTATATTAGATGCCGACATAGAAAGGGGACAATATGCCTTACAGGTCTCAGCGATTCCGGCATAAGACGGCTTCTTTATGCTATTTTTGTTTAAGTCGGTCCCAGACACTACGTGCATTTGGCGAATGTCGAACATTCGAATTATGTACTGCGGCTTCGGCCACCTTCCCAGACGCTACGTTATTTGTAAAAATGTGTCCAATGACAAATATTTCCCGTAGTAGAGCAACGCGTAGGGGAGCGCGCCGCTAAAACAAAAAACACGTAAACAAATATCCGTAACGTCTGGGAGTAATTCCGAAGTTGACTACGCCGCACTACGAGCTCCTTTGATTCGTGCCAGTTTACCGACAACCGCCGGGAAAATGACGAAGTACGAATCTTCGTCGAAGGTACATTGAAGGCACTTAAACACGCTACGCGAATAAGCTCGAATACAGAATATTCGCCAAATGCACATAGTGTCTGGGACCGGCTTTATATATTGATATTAACAGATACCTACATAAAATATTACAACATTTGTTCAAATCCCATGCCATACTTAAAATTCTGAAAACGAATATCTATCCATTTTCCTAGACATTTAAACAAAACTTACTTGGAAACAAATAGAAGAAAATATCTGAAATGTTCTCCAACTTTAAACGCTTATTTTCCTTTTTGAAAAATTAAAATCAATCAAAATTATAAAACTCGGGACGCTTAAGTCGTCTAAATTTAAGTGCCAGACAGGATAAACTTTTTATAACTGTTTAAATGCACCAGCTCTCAGAACTGCCCGGATAGATTTAAACTTCATAATAAAGCTTTTTAGTGCAAACTTTCGCGGCGTAATAAATTTTTGAATCAGGACCGGGTCGAGCTAAAATTTCCACTCAGAAAGTTGTGCAAATTGAAAAATTTCGAAACTAAATTTTGTACTTTAATTTGTTAATATACGTAATTTCAAGTACACTCACCGGCAAAAAAAAACCGGCCACTAAAAACTAGTCCCACTTTCAAAGTTTGATTTCTCGCGAACCACTCATTAGATTTTGATGATTTTTTTTAAATTGTAAATTAATTCCTTCTTAACGGATGCTCCGTCAGAAATTTTTATTCCGAATTCAATCCACAACATCCGGAACCCACTCGCCTGGTGAAATTTCCCGTTTCCATATACATACCGATTCCAGTCATTTTTGACTGTTGTTCGTGGTATACCCAGGGTATCGGACACATTGCGTTGACTTCGGCCATCCTCAATTACAGCCACAATACGAGCAACATTCATCACAGATAATGGCATTTTTTAATTTGACAATGATGTCGCCTTCATTATTTACACATAAAACTTTCTGCCTGCGAAGCATTTTTCCGAGACGTTCGTTTTAAAACAGCGTATCTCCAATACAAAAAGAGTTAATATCGTGATTAAAAAAACAAAATGCTCACGAAAGATGAGGCTACAATGTGATTTGATTTAGCAATAGCTACTACAGCTGCCGCACCCTATAGGGTGTTACAAAGTTCGGGCAAAAAACTTCGTCCTATTGTTGTGCCCTGGATATGCTCAAAATAAATTGGGAATAAAAATTTCTGACGTAGCATCCGTTAAGAAAGAATTAATTAACAATTTAAACAAAATCATGAAAATCTAATGAGTGGTTCGCAAGAAATCCAACTTTGAAATTGGGACTAGTTTTTAGTGGCCGTTTTTTTTTGCCGGTGAGTTTATATTGCCTACATATTTAAGTCGATTTAATATAGGCTATAACTTACCGAGATTTTGAATTTCACAGGGGAGGACTACGGTGTCTCCAGTTACAACTTTGAAGGTGTTCCCTCTGGACACGAAGCGCGGAGTGGGACTGTTTGAGTATATAGAACCTGGAAAAAATGTTAGAAATTAGTTTAATGTATTATATTATACAGGGTGGTCCGAACTGTATTCCAGAAACTACGGCAGCATATTCTGCAGATAAAAATAAGTAAAAATGTCCGTATATCCTAAAATGCTTAGTTTTGGAGTTAGAAAAATATAAATGTTTCATTTTTATTTCGATTTTATCCAAATAATTTCTGAAGTAACGTCAATATTTGGATGAAACTTGGTGTCTGGGAATTTTATGACATTGAATTATTTTGAAATTTGATTTTGATGTCAATATGACTTACTTGTAGAGGGCGTCACATACATATTTTTAACTGGTTTGAAGAATAATAACTTTTCGTCCGTACCTGTATAAAACTTGTAATTTGGTTAGTATTTTGGTTTGAACATTTTTTTCGAAGAAAAAATTATGATTAATTTCAAAAAAATTAAAACTTTTTAAATTTATAATTTCAGTCAAATAATTATCTACTCAACATATTCATTTTTAAAGAAGGCGTCCATTCTTCTCAAAGAGACCTGGTATAAATTAAAATAGAAGTAGAAAAATTACTCAAAGTCTCGGTCTCAACGTTTATATAATGTATCACGTGTTTCGCTCATATGAGCATCATCAGACAAATACAATTAAAATTAATCTACACACACCACTTCACTTTTTTTTTGAGTGTTTTGTTTTAATAAGTATGTAAAATGTGAACGTGTGTGTGGATTAATTTTAATAGTATTTGTCTGATGATGCTCGTATGAGCGAAAACACCTGTCACATTATAGAAACGTTGAGACCGACACTTTGAGTTTTTTTTTCTACTTCTTTTTTAATATTTATTTTTAGTGAATAGTGACATGTATTGACTATTTCAATTCTAAAGATCTTGAGAACGGTTGCTCGTAACGATTTTTACCAAGAGACATTTTTTACTTAAAAAATCACGGCAATGTATATTTTTTCACTCAGTAGTTTTATACAGGTACCGGCGAAAACACATGTAGGTGGCGCCCCCTACAAATAGGAGTCATATGGACATCAAAATCAAATTTCTCATGTCAAAAAATTCCCAGACACCCATTTTCATCCAAGTATTGACGTTACTTCAGAAATAATTTGGAAAAAATAGAAATAAAATTGAAACTTCTACACCCTGTATCTCCGAAACTAAGTATTTTAGGACATACATTTATATGAACTTCTTTACTTATTTTTATCAGCAGAATATGCTGCCGAAGTTTCCGGAATTTGTAATCGATCTGTTTTTCAATAATTAAGTTAATTTTCAATTAATAAGTTAAAAATAAATTTAAATATGAAAGCATTTCTTACAAACATGTTTAAAAAAAAAGTAAACTAAAAAGTAAAAATGAAAACCAAAAAAACTCATTTTGGCGGTCTGATTCCAAGGCGGCTTCTCCTCTTCTTTTAGTTTCAATCCTGAATCAGTGTTTACCACATTAAAAAAAAACTATCCTCTTATCGAGCGATTGTTACCATAGTAGTATTTTTTATGTAATGATTGCCGTGTATTTTGTTTACTAACTCAGGTTATAAGCTTGTAGTATAAAAACTCAGAGTCGTTCAAAAACGTTGAAAAGGTAAGATTTTGACCTACTGTATAATAAATAGTTTAAATGAAAGAAAGGAACCTACGTTGTGTTAAAAATCAATTTTTGTTAGTTTAGCAGGTTCTCACCCACAGGTTCTAAAGCTCTTGTTGGGAGTCTCGAAGCTAAATTTGAAGGTTTGATGCAAATATCTTTAGACTCTGAATTATTCTACTTTTTGTTTTTGATTGCCCTTTTGTTAGCTAAGATATTCGCCCAGTCACGGTCGAAAAATGTTAGTACACTCAACAAGGTGGTGTGTACAACCTTATGGTCACACTGAACCACAAAAATCGGTACGAATGGACAATAAACGATCCATAATTACTCTTAAACTGAAATTATTCACAGTATAAATGGATTCCATTAAATAAGTTGTTATATGATACCTTTATCAGATCAAATAAATAAAGAACAGCTTGAGCACATAATATTACGACAGGAATATAAAATATATAATATATTTTTGTTAATATTAGTTATATAATAAGGAAACATTTACTTTACCTTCTTAATAAGAATCACCAAAATTTACAAACCAAAATAACATCAATGCGCCTCGAACGGTAGTCTAAAAGCTGTTACATAACACCTATCATTTCTGTTCGTTGTCTGATTTCCCTCTCCTTAGTTTGGAAATATTTTAAAAATCAATAATAATTATTTATGTAGGTATACAGAGTGTCTTAAAACCGAATGTTTTGAATATAAAGAAATACTACGTCTAGGTATTTTTAATATTATCGTCACTCAAACAAGATCGTGAAGAAGAGATGTTGCAATGTAAACCAGCCGAAGAAAAATCTCTTTCAGGTTCGACGCTAGTTGGCGGAATTGTTAAGAGATGGTTATATCCTTTAGAAAATAACGCCTACAATCCCTTCATTTCTCGAAAAGAGTCATTTCGATCTTAACAAACTAAGCTCATAATTATTATTACCGAGTCCCGAAAATACAGAAAGTACCGGGAATTGATTTCGAGTTCCGAGTTTTTGATGAATCAAAAGAACTGGTAAATTCCGGTAACCGAGACCGAGATTTCCCGGTTCTGAACCAGGGTTACTAAATTAAGCAGAGTTCAGCATGTTTACAAATAATTTCATATTGTTTTTCATGTATTAGGTCATTAAGAGCATTATAGGAGTGTTTTAAATAGTGGACATACTATATTTATTTTAGTTTTAGTGTAGTTAATATATTATAATTAATAAACTAGATATTTTTTGTTTATCAAATTTTCCTTAGAAATAGAGATCATTCCTACCTATAACGACCTATAATGTTCAGTAATGTTGTTGCTGAATGATGTATATGTATAATAAATTATTTCGACTTGGTTTCGATATTTTAACATGGTAAAAGAGTGTAAAAAGCTAAAACAATTCTGTTTTCGAATACAAGTATTGCTTAAAAAATGCTAAATTTCAGAAAATTAGAGAAAAATAAATAAAGAGTATACAGGGTCCGGCAATAGTGGGTCGGGCATCTGTAGCTCCTAGAATAAGAAACTTGAGAATTCTGTTTAAGTGCAAACCTAAAGTATGTATAAGTATGTATTTCCGGAAAATATTTTAACTTCTATAGGGTGGCTCAAAAAAATGTGAGTGGATTGGGATGATTTTTTTGAAATGGAACACCCTGTATATTATTGCATTTTTGGCTTTCTTTCAGATTACTTTACATAATCCTAAGATATGAGTAAATCTATTTCGATAGTTTCAGACATATTAAAAAATAAATCAAAAATATATATTTTTCAACCCTTCTTAAAAAAAATATTAAAAATACAAGAACTGTTCTGAAATCAAAACTATATTAGATATTTACTTTAGATGGTCCGTTCTTACTTTGCTATAAATATGGTAATCGTAAATCATACAGGATGTTCAATATTTTACGCCAAACTTTCAAAAATATAAAATAATTTTTCTTCGTTTTTTTTAAATGGAACACCCTGTATATTATTTTTTTATTTAATGGAGAATTAAAAAATGAACATTTTTTGTATTTAAAGTATATCAAAATTTTTAATAGTTTTCCAGATACACGCAGTATTATTTCATAAGACGCTTTCAATGGTAAAATACGAGAGAACAATCATTAGGTGTGGCTTTGATAAAAATTTAATGTAAAAAATGCCATATGAAATACAAAACCGGGAATATCTGCGAAACCGTTGAAAATTTTGAAATACTCTAAATGCAAAAAGTGTTCATTTTTTAATTCTCCATCTATTGAAAAAATAATATACAGGGTGTTCCGTTTAAAAAAACAAAGAAAAATTATTTTATATTTTAGAAAGTTTGGCGTAGAATTTTGAACATCCTGTAAGATTTACGATTTCCATATTTATAGCAAAGTAAGTACAGACCCTCTAAAGTAAATATCTAATATAGTTTTGATTTTAGGACAGTTCTTCTATTATTAATAATTTTTTTAAGAAAGGCTGAAAAATATATAAATTTTATTTATTTATTAATATCTCTGAAATTATTGAAATATATTGACTCATGTGTTAGGATTATATAAAGTGATCTGAAAGGAAGCCAAAAATGCAATAATATACAGGGTGTTCCATTTAAAAAAAATCATCCCGATCCTATTAAAATATTTTCCTAAAATACATCCTAGTACATACGTTAGGTTTGCACGTAAATAAAATTCTCAAGTTTTTTATTTTAGGAGCTACAGATGCCCGACGCACTATTGCCGGACCCTGTATAGAAGAACAAAGAAGAACCTGTTTAATATAGACTTGGTGCATTCTCCGTCGGTGCTGCCACCCTCGGATAATATCGTAAACAACTAGTAGTTACAAATACACGAGTTTAGATAGCGAGAATACGAAAAAAATGTTTATATTTAATTATTCCAAAAGTGTTAGGAAGTATAATTTGTGAAAATTTTAAAAATAAGAATAAAAAAATAAATATTTTGATACCTTCAGAAGGTCTAACTTGTATCACAATTTATTATTCCAGTTAAAAAAGACTTTTTAGATGAGTTCAACTACGGTAGCGAGCATAGTTTTAATCACCGCTCTTGCTAGTGGGGCATTAGTGGGGCTATTTCGGCTATAACAAAATATGTTAAAGGTGCATAGTTATAATTTTAGATGTTCATAAAACATATAATCACTAGTTGGTTAAAAAAAGTATACCATTAATATTGCAAATTATATTTTATCCTCTCATAGTAGGTATGTATATGTCTATTTAATTTTTTGATAATGTAAGGAGCACTTTGTTTGCTCACTGGTTGCGTCGAACTGCTTGAATCCATTTTTGCTTTTGATCAAATCAGTGTGGGAAACTATGAAGCTATAAAATGTTGTTTCGGGAAGTTGAATATCCGGGAAAGTTGAATTATTGAATGGTATTGCACCCAACAATGCCCT